TAAACCAAGTTCTGCCTGACCTGTTTCCTTGGACCTGCAGAGTTATCATTATTATTCTTTTTGATTTGAATTCCAATGTCTTTGAAAAGGGCACGAAGTCTGCAGGTCAGGGCTGATTCCTAAATACATCCTTCCCAGGCAGCCCACTTGGCTCACTGTGTGTTACCTAATACTTCTGTGGGCTTCTGACCTTTCAACCCCTAGTGAGCAGAAAATTCTCCTTAGTTAGCAGCTTCAGAGTCAGCTTTAGATGCTGAAGTTCCAGGGCCCTTGGAGAATGAGAGAAGGTGGATCAAACAGTAACCAACAGCTCAGACTATGAGATATTTTAAAAATCCGACTAAGCCACTCCTGGGCCTCCAGGGCCTGTATTTTCTGTCAGATCCCTGCACCTGGTGGGCCCTCTGCCGACTACTGCCACATCTCAAATCCTATGAGCTTCTGTTTTGAGTTTATATCAACAAAAATCCTGTTTGTTTTCATGCAAAAACAAACAGGGGGTTGATTTGGGCTCTGGGAGGAAAAGGGAGATGGCAGTCGTTATCTCACTGGATGCTTTAATTTTATTCCACCTAACAAGGTCAAAATGTTCCAAAGATTCGTTCATCTTCCTTCCTCTCCTCCTCATGCTTTCCTTTCCGTTCCCTTCTCTGACTCCCAAACCCAAGTGATGTATAAGTGGAGGGGATCTTGGTTGGGTGGGGGTGAGACACATTCTGGATGTTTATTTTATTCCCACATTTGTGTTTGCTAAGACACAGAAGGTTCTGGAACGCCTGCTTATGTCCCCAGAGTACACTTAAAGTCGCAATTTAAGTATGGTGAATTTTATTTTTAAGGAAATCAGACTTGATCAATGGTAAACCATAACAGAACCGGCAAATGTGTTATGAAACAGAAGGCAAAACTGATTTTTTTTTTTTTTAAAGACGAAACACAAGATTACAAAGACATTTCGTGCTTGTTGAAGGCTTCTTCTGTATATTTCCCTGGATCCCATGAGACTGCTTTAACTCCCCTTTGCTATTAGGAATATTTGAGTGAAAGTTTGAGAAACAGTGTGAAATTCTGGCAAATTTTCCTATAAAATAGCCTGCTTCTATATCTGGGAGGAATATTTCTTTATTTCTGGGGTTCATGGAATAAGAAATCATGTAGTCTTTGGCTGGACACTTAAGTCTGTTCCTGATCTTGCCAAAAAGGCTCGAGTTGAATCACTGGCCTTGACTTCAAATTCCCATTCAGAGACCACCAATGGGATTGTAAAACTTTTGCTGCTGAGTCCATTTCTTGTAAATGGCTCTGCATATTTAAGAATAAGGAGAGTGGCTCTTTCAGTGTTGGTTTTGGGGTCCTGCCTCCACTGCCCCAGCACAGTTGCTCTGTTTATGTAGGAGCAGTGTCAAGCATTTGTATTTTCTCTGTTCTGCATTTGTTGGAAAATAAATAAGGAGCAGTAAAGAAGTTAATATATTATGCATGTTTTCTGCCTTGGGTGGCACCTGGAATTTGCTGAGTTTGCTAAGTACAACTTAAATTTTAAAAGGCTTCTGAACCTCACCTTTTTCATGCCATGCAAGCCAAATGGAAAACCAAATAATCAGCATAAGCAAATTGGTGGGTCCTTTCTCTTGGTCTCCACTGACTCAAGAGCCTGCTGTGGAATTCCAATACTTCTTTTTTCCTCCCAGTCCTGCTGTTAAGTCTTAAACATGACCAGACTTAAACAACCATCTCCTCTACTCCTCTCAGATAATAACCTACAATGGGTTTTGCATATTACCTAGGACATTGTGGTACAAAAATTCTGCATGCCAAAAGAACCCCCAAACAGACAAACAAATAAAACCCACTCATAAATTCACTGATTTTCCAGGATATCTCATTTACTTTCTGTCAGTTTTGCCAGAATTTGAAAAATGACTTTTAGTAATTATCTGATTTTCATGCGCCTTGCACAGACTCTCACTAAGGCCAAGCAAGGGCTTTTTGCCAGATTGCCGCCTGCTGGCTTGTACGCGGAGTTGAAAGCAGGAGTGGAGTGAAGCAGAATGGAAGAACAAATGTCAATATCAAGCACACTGCACTTTCTCTCAGTGACTTGCCCCAGAATGGGGCAAATTAAATCTCTCTAGGTAAGAAGCTTAATGATTATTAGGTGTAGCATATCTTCCCAGTGACACTATGTTTTGGTAACATCTCAACTTTTTTTTTTTTTTAGACAGAGCCTCAAGATTTCCCCCTGGGTAGAGTGCTGTGGCTTCACAGCTCACAGCAACCTCCAACTCCTGGGCTCAAGCCAGTCTACTGCCTCAGCCTTCCAAGTAGCTGGGACCACAGGCACCCACCACAATGCCCAGCTATTTTTTGGTTGCAGCCATCATTGTTGCTTGGCGGGCCCGGGCTGGATTTGAACCCACCACCTTAGGTGTATGTGGCTGGTGCCTTAGCCGCTTGAGCCACAGGTGCTGAGCCAATAATCTCAACTTTTGGAGAAGCAGCATGGTGCAGTGATGAACAAAGCCTCAGCACTGGACTCAAAAGGGCCGTGGTTTCAATGCCAGAGTCACCATTTATTGGCTGTGTACAGTCAGATAAGTGTTACAGATCTTGTCTTTACCTCATTTTTTTCATCCACAAAATGGGAAATCATTGCAAGGAATAGACAAGACAACAAAAGTGAGGACCAAACCTAATATGCTAGGCATGAAATAAATATGTTTCCTCCCAAGCAGAGTTTGGATTATTAACATACAGTAACTTCCCACCAAGAACTGGCTCTGACTGAGGGCACTGTTTCTACAAAGGGAGCTCTTGGTGGCCCTTTGTTGTGACTGTTGATCACACACATCTGGAAACTCTGACAATGGTTTTGCTTTGCGCTCAGCTTGGCCCAAATGTAGCTCTATATAAGGAAGCATCTATCCTTCAGCTTTTCCCAACACATCATAGCTTGGCTTGAATTTGGGAAGAGGTTGTGGAGGCCAGAAAAAAATGTATAATGTCTGGGAAAAAATCAGATTCAACTCACAATTACCCAGACCTATATTGCCCCACTGGGGCACTGTTCCCCACTGGAGCACTGTCCTGGAGCTTTTATGTATACTCTCTCACTGAACATGCATTAGAAAGGCTTATTATGATGCTTACCTTGGAGATGCTTCCAATGAGTCTGGAAGTGACTTTCTCAAGGTCACAAAGATAATATGGTATGGAGTTGGGATAAGATCCCAAGAAGAAAGTAGGGCAGGAGAACTGGCAGCATTGGAAGGTCAGCAGCTGTTTGCCTGCCAAAGTTTACTTTGAGTTGATACTGTCAGCAACAAGTGCTGGATGGTGAGTGGTCCCAGGTAAGTTTCTTTGACCTTTAGAAAACCCATGTCCAGCCATTAAGTCACATGTCAACTAGGGAAGCTAGTTAGATATGGCTAAAAAAATGTGCTGTGTAAACAATATCTGGTCACTCCTGAGGAAACCAGTTGGCAAAACAGTCGTAATTTGGAGGCCACTTTGTTTTACGTTGATATTTCAAAAGGTATTTTAGGATCAACATTACTTATCATGTGTTTATTCAATGAATGTGTTCTTAATCTACTTACTGTGTGTTAAGCACTGTTCTAGGTGCTAAGGATATAATAACTCTGAACAAAGTGCCATCTTTTAAAACTGATCGAACAGTGATAAATTAAGATTTGGGGAAAAAAGAATGCTAACAAGTAAAAGTTCTTTTGTTAACTGTTCAGAGAAATACGGAGCAATTTTATAGGAAATTTCTTTATGGGCTTGTTAACTTTTTTTCTTTCCTTTCCATTTTTCTCTTGGTCTTTGGTTTACAAGAGGACCCCTTTGTTCCCAGAAGGCAATTCTGGGTTCCAACATGCCCTGGATTATCTCCTCCTGCGTCCACAGCCACCAGAGGGCTATCAGAACGTGTTGAGTTCCATTCAGCACAGCCCCCATAGGACCGTACACAGTGAGAGTAATGCGCGTCTAGGGTAAGGTGACAGCAACAGCAACAGCAAAACCCGCAGGATACCAGAATGCAGTATTTCCACTTCCCTCCCTCCAAATCAAACGCCTAGTGTGTGAAATTATGACCATTATTCAATCGCAATTACACTGAATATGTAGAATTGGAAACACAGCACAGTAAATCAGACATTTGGATATCACATTTCGTATTTGAGAACATGCCAGAAAAAAAATTTATTGTTGGATGTAGTGTCAGGAGACAAACTTCTAGAAGTTTTCTACATAACTTTTTCCATTATATGTTTCCCATTTACATCAAGTTGAACACATGC